GAGAAAAAACGAATCAGGGTTTATCGTGCCGTGGTCTTGGGGTTTACGCCATTAATTATGGCCGACTTTTACCATTTGAGGCCCATTAGTGAGTGTACATGGGCCTATACTTTTGATTTCGAAGATTGTAGAGTGACGACCGGTCGTCGTCAACTCGCAAGAGACAGAGCTCAATATTTAATTTTTCTTCTTTAGAATAGAGTTTTTATTCGGTTATTTGTGTTTTCTATAATAATTAGGTCGTTTTTCATTACTTCTGTATTTTATTATGATTATTTAATTTCTTCAAATTAATAAAGTATGCAAGTGTTAAAAAAAAGTTTAGGTCGTTTTGTTTTTAACAACTATTTTATTTATGTAAAATATAACATTACAAAGGTAATAAAAATACAAATTTTAACAAATTTGTTGAGGAAACAACGTCTACCGAAAAAACCACCGTGGTTTCGATATGCAGAAGTAGAGTTCAAGAGCAGAAAAAGAAGTGTGTTTTCGATCAAAGAAGAATGTTTCAGAAATTATATTTTGATAGAATATATTTGGTATTAAAATATATTGTTGAAATTATGGAATGCATTAAGGAGAAAGCAACAATACGAAATGGAAGAAGATGTCTCACTTTGAAACCATAAGAAATTAATTATCTTAGTTAGTTTGGATTAAACTGAAAAAGAAAAAAGGATACTCATAAAAATTTTATTTACATAAATTCAGTTTTTTAAAAATGTATTTACGTCTGTGCTTTATTATTTGTTATTTTTTTGAAAAATACTAACATCTTGCTTATGTATTATGATAAACATATTCTCAGGTAGGTATAGACGAAAAATATTTGATTGGCTGGCGATATCTTTTATATTCAGAGTATCTACGTATGGTTCCAAAAAATTCTATAGGCTATATTATGAATTAATACTTTTGTGTAAGTATAGATTAATACTTCCATATATTACATACCAAAAACTCGACTATATAAATACGTTATACGTACCGAATGCTAAAATAGCTGTACCGAATTAAGCCAACGTCTTCGTTGACCATTATCATTTTCATCCGATGAAGCAAAAACCCAGACTGGTTATAGCTGTCGGATTAATACTTCAGAGGCTAAACTAATATCCTGTCAAACTCAGCTACTTGCATGAGAAGTAATCCAAAGTTTTTTTTTTTGCTTTGACATATAATTCTGATTTTAAATGAAAACATTACATTAATTGTTCTTATACTAGAAATGCATATTTATGTATGATGTACCTCATGGCTCATGCATGCCAATATCTATAACTTGAAAATGTATAATCAAACTAAAAATCAATAACACCAAAACTATATAGAAGCCTCAATATCTTTACAAAACTCGGACAAAATGAATAAATAACCAAAAATAGTCGTCTATGATTGATAATATATAAAAAGTATTTAACGATCCTCAAGGTTATATTCATTCAGCTCTCCACGATCGTCTCCAATCCAGGCCTCCACGATCCATATTTCGATTCATACAATACCTTCTCTTCTAGGGTTTCTTTTATTTCCACACCATCATGATCATGATGATGATCATCATCAACGGACGTTGAGTTTCTTCTTCTGTCTCCAGACACTGGAAACATACAAACAGGGAACATTCTCTTCAAATGGTTATGCCTACTTTCGTTGAGTATCTCTGCTGTTTTTTCGGAGATGAGAGCGAGTTCTTCTTCTGTTAAGACAGAGAATAACATGTCTGTCGGAAGGATGAGGTAGAGATGCCGTCTCGGCCGGAGAAACTCGTCTGGAGATACGGCTGTGACTCTGTGACCGATTTGGAGCAACGTTGAGTCGGTGATAAAGTGAGTGGAGTTTGTAGAGACGATATCGGAAGTCTTGATGGGTTTTGAGAAGACCTCTAGGGTTCCGGTGAAAGGAGATAAGATTTTTACTACTGATGATGATGAATGTGATGATATGATCAATGGAGCGCATGAAGATGTGTTTCCCATTATTGTGACCAAAGTATAAGAAGGAGATCGAAAGAGAGAGAGAGACAGAGGGAAGTTTCGTAGAAATGGGCTAGCTTTTATAATTATGTGAAATATATAGTTGTATTAGTTTATGGATTAAGTGGCGATTAAGTATTAATTATTATTTTTGCTGGTTGTATACAACTGTGTGTATCTACTTTCTCTCCGGATTATAGTTGTCGTTTCTTAGCTTTATTGGGGACTTTGTCTGATAGGTATAGTTTGAGTAATCAAATTACAAAAAGTAATGTTTTTCGTTTCAAATTTTAGCAATATTTATTCGTATAAATGTTGTCGCTACTTAATTAATATTCATTGTTTAACTTTCATTCTACCAAACACTAAAAATTACTAAAATATAATGTATATTTATTTGTGACGGTTAGAACTAAATGTTCTTATTCAGCAAAACAGCATGAAGCAAGGCGGTAAGAGAAAGTTGGAAAAAAAAACAAATATACTTCTATTTCTTACGGTTTGCGACAGTCTAATAATTACTTTGTTTTTTGTACAAGGCTAAGAATTTATTTATAAGTATGTATGATGTAATTTGTACAAGTTATATTCTTTTTAGAACTTCTTCTTTTTACTCGGCACTTGTAAATAAGATAAGACATTTTATCCGTTAAATTTGATTCGATTCGTTATTAGATTCGATTCAAAAATTCTGGATATCCGTAAACTTTCGAATCAAAGCAAATATTAAAAATTAATATCCGTTAAAATAAAAACAAATCACAAATATTAAAAATTTTGGGAAGCGGATATCCGATCTGATCCGAAAATATATAAATATATGTATATCTTGATTATATTAAAAAAATTAAGTGTATAAAGTTATATAATTATTATTCTAGCACATGATTTTGAACAACTCTATTCACATTATTACTTATATAAAGTATTACATAAAAAGAGAGAAAAAAATTATGACAATTTTATTTTTTTCTTAAATTTTATGTTATTATAATTGTAACTTAAACTTAAAATTAACAAAATATGTAAATTCACTAGTTCTTTTAATTTTATTTTATATATCATGCAAAAAATTATTTTTGCAAAGAAAATTTGTAACAAAATTTTAAGATTATTTGTATTAATCAAATGGATGACATATCCGTAAATATTAGTAAATATCCGCAAATATCTGTTTATTTTTCCAGATATCCGTTTTTCCGGATATCCGCATTTTTTCGAAGCAAAACAAATACCAAAATTAGATAATCGTAACATTCGAAGCAAATCACAAATATCTTGCAAAAATCTGGATATTCAATCCGTGTCCACTCCTACTTGTAAACTCTAATTCAAATAAATACTTGTACTCTTTTAAGTATGTTTACACAGTTAAAATATCATAAAATCAAAATCATGACTTAAACGACATATCCTTCGTTCTCTTGCTTCTGTTTTAGATTGTTTTCATCTAAGTATATATTTGTATGCTTTTGATGTCAGTTGACACAAATATAATTTTAATTTTAGTCATCATCCAACTAAAAGTAAGAAAAATCGTTTGACACAAATATAATTTTAAGTTTATATACGGAAAAACCTCACACCATATATCTTTTTATCCACGAAAATAAAAAGTACTACGCCTCATTAATCCACTCCAATCACTACATACTTACATAGTATATGGTAACCGTTTGTTTGTTCTGTAAGCGTAAATTAACCGAGAACGCCTGTTTACACCAACAGATATACTGTGAACTACTATATTTTAAAAATAAATGAATAAATAATTAGTCGATGATTAACATGATTCATCAGAAAAGAGGAGAAACGCATGAAGGATGGGTATGATTGTGAAGAGCTGGATGATTGGACTGAGCTCGAGTCACGACGTTACCTAACTTATCAAAGGCCAAAACAAAGATAACATAAGTATACAGCTCATTAGCTGTCTGGATGCATCGTACATGTATGTCTTTGTTAGTTGCTTGATTTTATATGATCATTAATCAACATTTTATATGATTGAAACTAGAAAAGCATGTCTGTAATACTGATTATTCAGATGTAGAAATATAAATTCATGTAATATTTTGCTTTACCAACAAATATGTACATATACATATATATATATATATATATTATATAATTTTGTAATTGATTAAGAAAATTACATACACACAGTTTACTAGCAATGATTAGGCTTTATATGATGTAAAATATATAAAATTATTATTGAACAGTCGTAATTTATGCCTTCATATGGTCGAGATATACACACTAATTATACTCTTGCGTTATGCATTTGTCGCTGTCGGATATCACCACACACAACGAATTATGTGATTTTATTTAGCTTCAATCTACCAATTATATAACTTGAACCGAATCCATTTGATGAACTGTCACAAGATTTATTAATCATTAGAACACAAAAAGAAGATTTATTAATCACAGAGTGACAACACTTGGATAACATTGTATAAACACATCCCTTAGAATTAAAGTGAAAAGGGCATCTCAAGTAGCTATCTTCAACATATTTAAAACATGGAATGATTAGGAGTTGCAACGTCAAAATCTTGACAGTAGCTAAAAAGCTAGCTCTAGCTATTAAACTCTAACGAGGTATATATACCTATTTATACTACTTGAACTTGAAATATGCATGCATATTATAATACACCAGAATTCGTATTAGTAGTGTGAACTAGCAACGTCATAGTATCATTAATTCATTATTCAGATTGAGTTGTGGTGATGTACATGTTTGTCAATCGTACTTTGTCTAGACTAAAGATATATTACTAGCTAATTGGCTCCCATCTAGCTCGACTTCCCCTTAAAAAAACACTCACTGAGATAATTTTAAAATTTGGGCGCTTAAGTAGTTAGAGAAAATGTTGATAAAGAGCTGTTGGAAATTATTAATATCATAAAATTTTCTCAATAGATACTAATATTAAGTTACGAAACATAATTCACACAAATTAAATATACATAATAATGAATAAAGACGTGATGTAATATAGTAGTAGATCAGAAAAATATTGTTGCCAACGCCACGATCGCTGATGCGAAGCTATGTCCGGAGAAGTTGATGGCCGGAGCAGAGCTTGTTGGTGTGGACGTTGAAGAGGCTGAAGCTCCGGTGGAACCGCTTCCTATTTAATTATTTTTAAAACAAAAATAAATACTCCATAACTGCTATTTTTCAAATTAAAAAGTGAAATATTAAAGGAAAATTTGCAACCAAAAAAAATAAAATCTTCACCCGTTGATAGTAGTAAGGCTTGTAACCTTTTAATTTCTTTATCAACAGAATACATTTTAAATATTTTTATAAAACTATGGCAATCATTTTTAAGAAATTTTGAACATTTGAAAATTATGTGTTCATACCAGTGGAAGACACCGGGGGACTTTTGGGAGTTGCCGGGGACGTGGAAGGCGTAGTAGTACCTTCGCGAACACAAAATTTAAAAGCTAATAAGGAACAAAAAAACAGTAGCAATAAATCTATTAAACGGCGTCATAATAAGATACTCACCACCGGTGGTGGCTTTGCATTGTGAGACGTCAGGGTTGGCGCCACAAGCTTTAGGAAGATCAAGAGCGTTGTCTTTAGTGAGGTTAAGCGATTTGAGCATATCCACGTTGTTGAAGACGGAGCAAAGACACGTGGCGTCATTGGCCACGATCTCCCTCATTGGCAGGCAACACGATGGAGGCGGTGGTGGAATCACCGAATGAAGAAACGGTTGACACGGCATAAGTTTTTGTATACACGGCATTGCATGAGCATCTCCTCCACCGCTCGGTGGTACAGTTGCGTCGTTAGATGATGAGACGGAGACAAGTACAAAAAGGACGGCCACGGCGAATCTAACAATCTCCATTTTGAAAAACAAAGAGCTTTGAAACAACGTATGTAGTTCTTGTAAGACGGTTTCTTTATCTTGTGTTTGAATGTTTTGTGGATTTGTAATAGATTTCAACGTGTATTTATAAACATAGCACACACGTTGACGTTGGTTATAATTTTGAATCTAATCTACTTTCTGGCTGGTTTTTTAGAGAAACAGTTACTAGATCTGTTCTGATACGATGATTACGAAACGGATCGAAGACTAATATCTGGATTATTTAGCTAAATCCAAAACTAATCCAAAAATAGAAGAAAGATTGTTATTACATCACAACAACAGAAGTTAGTAGTTACATAGCATGTGTTTTCTTGTGGTCGTCAACCATGTTCTCGAATCTCACCTATGACCTAACAATACAAAATTATCCTCATTTTTTATTGAAAAAATATGTGTGATAGTTTAGCATTTGCTAGATAAGTTGAAGAAAGCTTCTAGTCTACGTATGATGAGTCTACGATGTAACTTTCTCGTAAGTGCACTTTTAGAAGCTCTTGAACTCGTCAATTTGGGATATATATCCACTATGTTCATTCTTTTTGTCCTCTTGTACTTAGTGCTATGTTGAATACTGCCTACCAATACACAGGGATTTGATTCAGTGATGGTAGAAGGTTCTCATCTTCCTTTCTTGGAAACGTGTCCTACACGATATCGATAGCAGAGTTGGCCCGTTCCAAAAACATTATGGTGGAAGCTGAATTAGGTAAACTCTCAGGTACAAAGGATGGCTTGACCGTTGAAGATCCTGAAGCAAATCTCGCCAACGCCACCATGTCCTTGTTATTTCGATAAACCCCAGGCCATGCCTCGCTGTAACAAATAAAGCAATAGCTTTAGACCATCATTAGTGTTGTAATCACTTTAGTTACAATTAACCATATGTCTATAGAAATTACAACCAAAACGTAATCTCTTATAAATATTTACTAGATTTTGATCCTCGCTTAGAGAGCGCGGGTTTTGTCTTGAATATATAAAAAATATTTGATATGAATTAGTGTTTTGATATTATGTAGATTATTAAGTTACGTACAAAGATGAATTAGTGTTTTATGATTACTATAAGTTATAGCATTAAATGCTAGTATGGTAAATTCGTAGTCCATTTATTAATCATAGAATATAATTGAATTAGTTTTTACAGTAATATCTATTATTCATTCCCTAAAATATCTCTTGCTTTCAAAATGTGAATAATAATTAAAAGCATTGATTATCATATGGTTGGAGAAATATAAGGTAAGACCAAAAAAGAAAAAGTTCAAACAACTTGTATAAATAGATTTTCTTAAAACTCTTTCTCTTTTAATAATATTGATTAAAAAAATATCCTTGATATTATGTCATTTAGTTAAATACAAATCTAGCATTTTTTACATGTAACATAGCATCTAAATTTTGACTCTTAAGTTTTTTTTCTTTCAAATTATCTTATTTATGCTCAAATTTTACTTATATTTTTGATTATGTATTATTTAATTTTAGTTATTGTCTATCTTTGTGTACATGTGGTAGAACAAGAGAGAACTGATGTAATAAAACAAGGGGATAAGATGATGAGATATAGGGAAAAATAAAATAAGTTTGTCCTAATTATCTCATTACAATATGTAAAACTATTTCCCCTTGACTCACTAGAATTTTAAAGAAGAAGAAGATAAAATAAATAACCGTAAAGGGATGATTTAAAAAATTTGGGCGCTTAAGTAGTTAATGAAAATGTTGGTAAAGATATGTTGGAATTTATCCTTGTTATTAGAGTTCTCAATACATTACATATAAATTAATCAGTTACCAAACGTATTTCAAACAAATTAAACCTACATAATAATGAATAACAACGTGATGTAATATATTAGTAGATCAGGAGAAGAATGTTGCCAGTGTAACTAGGTCTGGCTCTGGACGTTCGGATTTTCGAATCAGGTTCATGTCGATTTTGAGTTTATATTTTTTTAGATCCTAAATGTTTAGATTTAATAGGTATTTGGACATTTTTGATTCGAGTTCAGTCGGTTCTTCTTAGATATGGATCGGTTCAGGTCTATATTTAAAATATCTGTAAAATGTCCATAATTTTTGACTTCATATCGAATCCGATTCAGATATTAAGATTTGAAAATGACACAAAACACTCAGCGCCGATCAAACTTAGGCGAAATATTTCATACATATCTAAAACTTTACAAATAACTTCAATTGAACTATTAATAATTAAAATAAAACACTTTAAACTCTAAATTTTACATTTAAAATATCATATTACTTGAAAAATACTACAAGAACAATAATAACAAAGGTTGTTGAGAAGAAACATTTCAACTAAACCTTAGAATAAATTATAGAAAATAGAACATAAAAATCATAATTTGGATATTTATATAATTAAATATGGTTATTATCAGATCGATTCTTTTCGGTTCTGAATTTATTCAGATCGATTTCTTTCGATTTTGATTCTTTTAAGTAGAATTTTTTTAGATATAATAGATATTTCTAAATTTTTTGTTTGGTCCCGGATCACGTATTTTCAGATCGATTTCAATTTGATTTTTTTAGGTTCAGATAAAATGTCCAAATGGCACAGTTTTCTGTTTAATTATTTTAAAACAAAAAAAATACTCCACAACATTTCTTTTTTTCAAATCAAAAAGTCAAATATAGTCCTGCGACTTCGGTTTTCCGAAACCGAATCGAACCAAACCGAACCGTCGGTTTTCGGTTAACCGGAAATTTTGAAATCTATTCTGAAATTAACCGAATTAAATTTTGGTTTGGTTCGGTTTTCGGTTAATTTTGGTTGCAAAATTACTTCTGAAAATAACCGATTTTATTGGTTTTCGGTTAATTCCGGTATAATTTTTCAAAAAAAATCGGATATTTTCGAATATGTTTGGTTATTTCGGTTAACTTCAGATATTTTCGGTTTTTTTTGGTTTAATTCCGTTTGGTTATTTTCGGATATTTTTCGGTTATTTTCGGTTTTTAATTTTTTTTTTTAATTTTTTGAAAATCAAAAATCGAACCGAACCAAACCGAAAACCGAATTACTTTTCATAATCATACCGAACTAAACCGAATTGAAAACCGAAACCAAACTGAAAACCGAAAATTTTGGTTCGGCTCGGTTCAGACCGTTCGGTTCGGTTTAAAGTCGCAGGCCTAGTTAAATAATTCACAAATTTCAATGATACTACAAGAAAAATATCTACAATGATAACAGATTGTCATAACAAGTTTTATGAAATTATTATCGTAATTGCGTATTACATAGAAATGGTATATGATAGTATTTGATAAATGCTATCATAGAGTTTGGGGAGCTAATTTCACCAATACTCAGATGAAATTGGGTAGGGGCCAAATTGATAATTTTTTTCCTTCGGTGTGATGACAATTTCGATACTTAAATAGTGTCATATCTATACTTAAAAAAAAAAAGTCTTATTGTGTCTTGGATGGCGGATACTTATCTCTTTCTCATCTTCTCCTTCTCTTCTTCTCCTTAGTCCTCAGCCACAGAACAATGAGTTTGACAAGAGGAGGATGACCGGAAGTTGTGAACGGATCCAAGCTCAGTTGGGTCGGATTGAAGAAGAAACCCGACGACTTGGGTTTGTCTTGTCGAAGATCCGGGCTGGGGCTAGAAAGTGATGACTAAAATTTTGTCTAAATATAAACCTTAAAAGCTAAAAATGACTAAAAATAAATTTAAATGTTTTATAAAATATATATATATATATATATTCTATGGTTAATTAATCTAAACATTAGGATTTATGGTTAAGAGATGGGTTTAGAATTTAAAGTTTAGGATTTAGTGTTGAAGATTGGGGTTTTGAAGATCGAATTTAAATTTAAAAAAAAAAAAAATATTTGATCAATTAATTTTTGAAATCTATTTTTATGACAAAAACTTAAAAAGTTTTATCTCAGAGAATTGTTCATTATTCTAACTATAATTATACGACTAGTACTAAAAGGGAGATACAACTTCTAACTGTAATTATAGTTTGGAATCCTATAGCAATGTCAGCGTCTGCGAGTACTACTGCTAAAATGGCAATTAGCAGATACAACTTCAGCTTGAAACCTGAAAACGATGGCCTCTTAAAGCCTATTTAGGCCCATCTATCCACCTTCGTTTGTGGACTTTATTAACGGGTGAAACATTTGTAAACCATTTGAAAATTTTAATACAAACCGGTAAGAGAATATGAACATACTTTTCCCGTGTTTTGGGTTTATGAAAAACGTTTCGAGACCGAAAATTAGGGTAGGAATCTGGCATTCTAGAATATAATCCAACTGCCGTTCAAAAAAAAAAGAACATAATCCAACTAAAGACAGTAAATATTTTTAAAAACTGTAAAAAAAACACACAATTTTTTTCTCAAATGAAAATGAACTCTGAAGTTTGTTTTCATACAATTGTAATGGGTTTTAACCGGCGCTGGTTTCCCTCCTACTTTGGTTCTCAGACAAACTTGGCCGTCTCGAGTTTGAATTCATCCAGCAGATTCTCGACGCTCATCACGGACAACTTTGAACGGTCTTCGATTCTTCTCAGAACAGTCACCTGAAAACAAAAGGATCTAACTTTGTCAGAAAAAGGCTTGAATGGACACACAGGAATGAGCAACTACTGGGTTCTCAAAACTAACATGTCCCGTTGTAGTCTCTTCAGCACCCACAACCAGTATGTAGTTGTACTGCGCAACCTGAGCTTCTCGCACCTGCACCACAACCACACTGATCATCAATCACCAAGAAATAAAGAGTAGTTTGTGGTAATAAAAAGGAGAAAGAAAAAATATATTCAAACTTCAAAACCACGAAACAAATACACTGCTTCTTAGCATTGTGTCTAAGATGGGTCACTGAAGTTGTTTGCCTATTGTGACACTCTAATTCCAGGTCAACAGCCACAATTGTGTACAGGTTACCTTCTTGCTGATGTTTCTGTCTGTTATGTCAACGTCAACATAGTACCCAGCTTGGTGAATTTGTTCGCTGACCTGTTTGAAATAATTGCAGTTAAAAGACAGAGATGAGATAAACTGCAAGTGCTCAGCTCATAAGGAGAGGAGTGCAGTCACGAATGTAAAACCTTTTCAGCGTATTCATTATAATCCTTTGACAGCGAGTAGACTATGGCCTGGCGCGGACTAAGCCAGAAGGGCCATTTTCCTTTGTAATGCTCCAACAATATGGCAAACATACGCTCAACAGATCCCAACACTGCTCTATGTATCATCACAGGTGTATCCCACTTCCCTTCAACCATAGTTGTGTACTTCAGTTTGAAGAGGGCAGGAAGTTGAAAATCAAGCTGATGTGAAGCAACCACGCGGATCAAGCTCATATAGCAATAGTGTAAGAAAAAGTAAAAGATTTTGGGAGCCTAACTTGTAAAGTAGCACACTGGACGTAGGTTTTCACTGCATCAGATACTGTTATGTCTATCTTCGGACCATAAAATGCCCCGGCTCCTCTGTTCACCTGCAGAGTACATCACACCTCCAGAGTGAATGCATATACTCTTTGGAATAACAAGCTTGAGTAGAAACATCAGAAAGTAAAGTAGTACACATACAAGGAATGGCTTTCCAAAATCTTCTAGCGCTTCTTCAAGGTCTCTTTCAGCTTCATCCCATGTTGTTAAGTCTCCAAGGTACTTCTCTGGTCTCTGAAATTGAACACAAACATGCACAGAATGGGATACTGGACCATCTAAGAATCAAAATTTGGTACAAGAAATCTCCAAATATCCTACCGTTGAGAGCTTTAGCTCATAGGTAAACCCAAATTTTGTGTAAACATAGTCAACGAATTCCAATGCACGTTTCAGTTCTCCACTAACCTGCGAAAAGACAGAATACTTCTAACAAGGAGCTGGGAGGACAAGGTTGCTATATAGAACGCAAATAATCTCAAACCTGATCCTTTGTACAGAATATGTGTGCATCATCCTGAAAAGAAAAGGAGAAGACATTCCCAAATGCTATGTTAAGTAACGAACATGCAAGAGGGCCAAAAAGAAAATTGTCCGGTTCGCAAAGTGTGTGGTGAATTCCTCACATCACCATGGCAAAGAGGCTCTATATTTAAACGCTTTATAGAGTAAGAAATTTACCCTGGCCCTTGTAAAGCTCTAAAAGAAGTTTAAAAGTAAACTACGATCATTTCATGTTTATTCGTGTTGTTTTGGCCTCTTGATTATATAAAGAGGCATCAATATTATTTGTTTCCGCAATAGAAGTTTAACAAAATAAGAAGAAAATTTCCAATGCATAAAAATACCTGCTGGAACCGTCTGACACAGGTCAAGTCACTAAGGGCTCCACTTGCCTCATTTCGATGTAAGACTCCAAAGTCGGCCAGTCTGATGGGTAAATCTACATATACCATGCCATTAAAAAGAAGGTGTCAGCAAAGAAAATTAGCGTAAGATTTATTCCCATATCTAATCAAGCAGCACTAGAGGAACATAGGGGACCTTTATACGAGTGAGTCCTGTTTTCGAACACCAAGCAGTGACCAGGGCAGTTCATAGGTTTGAGCCCGAACTTTTTTTTATCAATCTGCGCAAGGGAAAAAAATAGAGAAAGTCATTCAATTTCAAAGCTATAGACAAAGCCAAGAAGACTGTTGAGGTTTGCATGAACACTTACATCAAACGTGAACATATTTTCCTTGTAGTATGCGGCATGTCCGGATTTTTCCCAGAGTTCCATGCTGTAAATATTTGGTGAAATGACCTGGCCAAATTCAGTGTTAATGTAGCAAAGCCTCGGCAACGGTCATAAAGTCTGCTTTAAAAATAACAAAAAAAAGGGAAAAACCTCTTCGTATCCCCTATTCCGATATTCCTTCCCGATGAAATGCATCAGCTTGTTATATACGCGAGTGCCATGTTTCTCGAAGAACCAACTCCCAGGGCTGAATCACTTACATATATTGTTAGTTTCGAGGAGTAGAAAAAAAAAGAAGAGGAGCCAGCAAGGGGGGGGGGGGGTATTGTTTATTATTAGCACAGAAAGAACCTGAGTGGGTGACAAAAGAAAAGTTGGAGATGTTGGCCTAATAGCACCGAAAGAAACTGAGTGGGGAGACAAAAGAGTAGGTGAGCATAAGAGAGAAAATGAAGCTTGTAGAAAATGAAGAGAGTGTAGGAATCTCACATTCAAACACTTGAAAGCTTTCACAAAGGAAGTATTTGGTATATGTGGTCCACTACACAGATCAACCAAAGGGCCACACCTGTAGACAGTATATTTGTCCTCGGTGAGGAGGTCAGCCTGTAGATAGATGAATAACAGCAGAAACGAATGCGGATTAAAAGGAAGGATCTATAGCAAGTTCAATGAGAAGAAGAAGAAAAATAACAGCATTAACCTTAAAAGAATTATCAACAGAAAACATCTCAAGTGCCTGACCCCTGGTCACTTCAATTCTTTCAAATGGATGTCCTTCCTGAGATGTAAGCCCAATTCACAGCTTTGTAAAAGAAGCAAATATATATATATATGTATGTATATACAGAGTTATCAAATAAGGATATCACAAGAGTGAATAAGAAGCAGTACTGGAGAAGCCTCTGCTTCAGTGTCAGGAAAGTGTTGCTCGTTTAAGCCCAGATGGCCATAGAATGCATCATAGAAGAATCTCTGCATACGCAAATCAAATACCATCAGAGGAAATAATAGCAAAAAATAAAATGATGAAGAGAATTGGTGCTCTTAGGTAGTCTATACGACTATACCTCATCTCTAGCTTTGCAGGGTCCAATGCACAGCTTGCAACCATACTCCTGGTCGAGAACCTGCATGCAGGAGCAACGAAAGATCATTCATGGTCAATGCTTTATTTCCACAATCAGAAAGGTGCTTTTTACCTGGGCGAGAATGTGAGCGCTAGAACGCCAGAAAGTATCACGGCCTTTGTCGCTGTCGAAACTGAAAAACTCAAGGGAACAATCAGCTTCCAGTGGCCTATTCATGTCCCACAGGACACCGTTTACCGAAGAAATCAGGGCTGAGTTTGCCAATTCCTCCTCATTTGCCAATTCCTCCTCATTTGCCAATTCCTCAGAGATTTTCCACGCGATTTCGGTTGGAGTCGTCTCCCATCTCTTCCCTTCTTTCACGCTCCCAACATCTCCCATGGTAACCCTAACCCTAATTAATTAAGTTCACACCAGATTCTTCTCTATGTTAAAAACTACTGTAACCCTAGCTAACGCAACGCAAGTATATATATGTATATCAGCAGCGGTTGTAGTATTTTACTTGATCGGATCGTGTGGCCGAGACTGAATCTCCGCGAGCTGCTTCGCTTGGAACTCCTCGAACAGCCTGATACGCTTTTCGATCACCGCTGAGAGATCCTTGAGATGATCTTCCGCCATCGTTGGACTCGAATGGGTGCTGATTCCGTTTCCGTACAAATTTGAAACCACTCGATAAGCGCACACCGCCGGTTTTATGAAACTTCTTTAGTATTAAAATAATAATTTCACAGATTTAATTCCTTTGTTATGACATACTACAGTTATCTGTTGTTTTCATTTATTTGGCAGATTTCCTTTCATTTTCAACTACAACAGTATCTGTTGTTTTCATTTCTTTAGATTTCCTTTCATTTTCAACAAAATTTATTTGGTCAAAATTTATGACTCATTTATTTTCCTTTCTTCACAAAGTGTAACTTTAAGTCGTACCTACTCGGTGACGTATAGAAGTTAGTTCCGTTACAAAAGAAAAAATTATCTTTTTTAACCTTTCCAGTTCTTTATTAAACATACTTATTATAATGCCTTTGAGCTGTTATAGATTCGGTCCCCTCCTTGTGTTGCAGATGCATCATAAGGTTGTGAAACGAAACTATATATATAAAATAAACATACAGAGTATCAAAGTTGAACATAAAGATAAAAGTCATAGAATATTTAACAACAACCCACCATATATATATATAAAATAAAAATAGCACATCCATTTATTTACTATAATGTAGATTAATAATTTTCTCAAATAAGGCTTGTTATTTAAATCTGCACAAATGGCCACGCTTTGGTCTAGTTCAAGCGGCCACGCCACCCAAAAAGACATTCTTTATAGTCTCTAATGGCAAATGACTCATTGTCCAAAGAAAACTCATCCATGATCCGAGTGCTTCTAACGGCATTAGTTTCGAGGTTAACGAATACCATGTGCTTGTACCAACCATGTCCTTCTGCGATCAAGATGATCTCGCCAGTATTTTTGTCGACGCATGAAGCCCCCACATTTGCTGTTCGTGCATGGTAGTACAACCCGCGGGGAAGTGAGAAAGTGAACTCTGACCAGGACTGAATGGTAGGGTCCTCTAAAACCCAAACACAAAACATCCTATTATTTATGACTACGCTTAGTTTGCCTTTCAAATCGAGGAGGAGAGGAGCAACTAAAAATCTATTGGGTGAAGGTGGATAGTCCCAATCACGAACAAGATCGGCAGAAGGCCCGTCTTTCATCTTAAAGATGTCAACTTTCTCCTTTGACACATCGAATCTAACCAGTGAACACGTCTGAGTCGAGTACGAGAGTGTGATGTAATAGACGAACCCATCAATACAAATACTATTTGTCATCGGAAACTCCGGGGTGGACTCTGACTCGATGATTCGCCATTTATCCGAAGCTTCCCCCACGGTGAGGACTTGGTAGCCTCCACCGTTGGATCCTATACCCACCCTCCTCAAGGCAAGTAGCTTGTACTGCTCGTTTATTGGATCGAATCCCAATACGCGTCCATATTCCGAGTCGATTCGCGGTATATCGACGGACCACCCTAAGCTAGGGTTTTGGATTTTGGATCCGTGGCTTATCAAACCCTCGACGCAATAGTAGCTAACTTGAACATCGCGAGGCTGACGGGACGCGAATTCGAGAGGAGCATGTAAACCACGGGGCGAGAAGAAGGCAGTATTGGAAGGGTGAAGGAACATCGGGGTCGACGCGCAGAAATGCAGCTGACGATCTTCTCGAGCACCGGACCATAAGTCGCGCTTCTCATAGCGATTATCATGGGCCCAGAAGCCTAGTAGGAGGCGAGGTCTGTTTATGGGCCGCCTTTCGTAATTTTTTATAAAGATTGGATCATCGATGATCGACCCCCACTGTTTGCAGACGACGCGGAGGTTTTTTAGAGTGTTTGGGCTCGACCTTAGGAAGATCAATTCCAACAATTCGTTACAAATCTGGTCCATTTTTTTTTCTTTGTTATCTCTGTGAATGTATGATTAGTCTTAGGGGTCGTGTATTTTTATAGCAACTAAGATGCGCTTTATATAACTACCAGTCAAACTATCTTTCACCCTCTCAACTACTTAAAATACTACTTTCTTTTGCCATAAGACTCACTTACCAAAATAAAATAAAGCTAGCATACATTTGATCTACGTTATTATAATAATACACAAGACATTACTCCACTATTATCAGAACTTATTTCTCTCAAAACTGATTATACGACGACAGTTATTTTTTAAAATTGACATTCTTTTGAAGGTTTATATAAATCGTCCATCTTCTTTACAAATGTTATTGAGCTTCAACGTATAATAGTGATTTTAATCCATACATTGCACTCTAAAAATTATAAATACTGTGTCTCCATCATCAAACCTCAAACCCCACTCTCAATAGTATTATTTATCAAATGATAAGTAAAAATATATTGTACTTCTAAATGTCAATATTTACAATATATTATTGCAAACATTTGTTTCTTATAAAAATTAATTAGTACCTTTTAAATATATAATTATGTATATAACTGTCCACATTATATGTTTATAACTAACAGAATCACATCAAAATATCATTCGCCTTTTCCTGTGTTTGGTAATTACGTGTTTACATTTACACAAGAAATCCATTTAAGATCATTCAAACCAAATAAGTAATTACGTGTTTGGTAATTACGTGTTTACATTTACACAAGAAATCAATGCATCTTAGCTTTTTCCCGTTTTGATTATTACATACTAGGGTTGGCCCGGGCTACGCCCGGGATTTTGTTTCTATTATTTATATGTATATTTTAGCATATAAATATTAGATATTTAATAAAAGGTAAAATTTTCGAGAATACAAACTAAAAGACATAAAATTCCGAAGCATACATGGAATTTACTAAATTATATTGTTTTTCAATGGCAATATCTGCCTGTCAAGAATTTATGTAAAAAAAAAAAACCCCCAAAACAAAATCTTAAAAGTAACAATAGAAGATGATAAACAGTGAATGTGATACTGCAATGTTTTACAGTAGGTAAACACTGTTACACTGCAACAGTCTGATCTTGAAGGTGGTGAATTAGGGGAATCGCTTTGACCTTTTATAAAAAGTCTATTCTTTGTTTTTCTTGTCACATCCGCTTTCTATCTTTGCCTGCCTTTTCTTTATGGTGGGTTTTACCATGAATTCTTCTCTGTTTCGTATCATTTGAATCTGTTGACAGACAAAGAAATGAGAAGGTATGATTAAAAAAACTTTTGGAGGAGGAAAACACATAGAGAGAGGAGAGAAACAATAAGTTATCCTCACAAATATGGAACCTTCGCCTTGACGCTTAACAGAGGTCAGAGGCTGTGCTGTTGATGGTGATATCATCTGACCTCTGTATTGCTTCACTGCCGGATATATTACTATACCGAGAACCTTTTATTGACGTGTAGCTGAGTCTAACGTAACTTCGAGAGGAGAAATGGATCACGGACCATTAATAAACATGCATCGTGAACTCTTCTGGCAGCAGGTACCTCATGTGAGTAAATAGTCCCTACGGGTGGAAACATATAGAAAATTTTTATATAAAATTATATTTTAATTTTAGAAGTATTTATTCTAAACTAAACGCGATACTATTAACGAACAAAAATAATTGAATAATGTAATGATATATATATATATATATATATATATATATATATTTATTTTATATTGTTTTTTTCACTTTGACATAATAAAAGGAAATCTAAAGTAGGAATATATAATATATACTATATTTATTTCAAGGGGTTTCAAGTTTTAATATTTTCACACTAATTATTTTTTTCATGATAATAATTTAATTTACCTCCGAGCTAAAAAAAGTAAATATAATCCAATTTTCTAAATTAATTAAATGTAATTTTTAAAAATACAATATATATATATATAGTTTCAATAATTTCACAAATATTAATTAATGTTTTCTTATTTACAGCAAACGATGTTTTAGACTATATGCTTGTTTCAGATCATAATTATATTCTGAATTAATTTTTAGTTATATTTTAGTGTTTAACTGATATTTTTTGTATATTATTATAGCTTTCGATGAACTTTGTTTGATAACAAAATTCTTTGTTTTAATTTTTTTTTTCATTCTATTTTGAAAGGTTTTCTTAAATTATTATCTTATGAACTAATAAAATATGATATTTAAAGCAGATACTTTACTTTAGTTATATATCCCTCCTTATCAGATAATTTAGATGAAGAAATAAGAATGAACTAAACCGTAACTAAACAAAAAAAAAAAAAACTTTTATGTAGTGCAAGTTACACAAATTATGGAAATCAAGATGAGCCAAATCGCATATAAATGTTCTATGAAATCCATTTTTCTCTTCATCAACTAAAGCTTGAAGAAGTAACTCTATTCTGTATTTTTCTTAGTGTTGATTCACTTGATTGTATTCAATGAAAGCATCTACCGCATATCTCATCAAATATTCCCTTCTCAGTTTTACATAGTACCAACAACAACACCATAATATATATATAAATTGCAGAAAACATTGACATGCAAGGGAACTAATCAAAAACTTTCAGTGATTTCCAAAGGTTAAAGTTAATGCAACGGTATCACTTTCTTTTTGTTCCTACTTGTAGGTAGAATCGCTAAGTATCTTGTGGAAAGAAATATAGAGCATAGAGAAATTTTACAGTTCAAAACAGGAGAAACCTCTTACTTCATCAGCTGGTTTGAGTTTTTTTATAGTTCTCACCATGAATTTCTTGTAAGCATCATTTAACTTTCATAGGCTTTGCATTTCTTCACTGAAGTTTAACACTTTTGAATCAGACCATGTGATAAAAGCTGAATGTTAATCTATGATGAGGACCAAAAATCAAAGATGAAGAACATTACCTCAATATTCCGGGACTGGAGATTTTATTGGCGATTTTCACCTTAGACTGATGTGGAACATATCTATATATGCAACAAAAGTTAGAATTTTTCTATAGTAATGTTCCATATGATGAATAAAATCATAGCGAGGTAGAAGAGAAAACAACATATCCTTACCAAACTTTGAGATAACAAATATTCTCCTTGTAACGTTCCGAGTGCTAGAGTTTCCGAGCGGTTTACTCTTTATATCACTAACAGTCCCAAGCATTCTCGTCATGGAGAAAAACTCCATGCACACATTTCATACACTTGAAGAAAGCTCACACATAAAATTGGTTGAAGAAGACAAAGTGTTAGACTTTTATAATCAAGAAATAGAAAAGGAACTCACTTGATTCAAGGAAAGAGAAGGTCATCACCATCGTACTCATCATTATCCTCAATCAGCTTCCTGAGAATCAGAAATCAATGATCAATTCTGCAGAAACCAAAGAGTATAGATGTGAAAGTTAAAAGCTTTACTTCCCTTTCTCCGTGAACGGATGAATTTCTCAGATTGAGACTTACCTATTTATACTTGAAGATTCACAGTGGAATTAACGGTGGATGCATTCACTGAAAAATCGTGTGAAGAACGGAGAGTTGATGTTAGTGAGGGCATTTAAGACTACGTTTGAATCAAAACGATGATTTCTGTAACGTTCCGGGATTTATTTCGCCGGCACTTACAAACCATTCGATAGACACCGGTGCTGGATTCTAACATTGTTGGAAATTAATCGGTGACAATAACACCGACTGAGATTCGACGGCAATAGGATGAACTGGTTCTGGACTTTAGATGCGACGACTTCAGTGTTACGATGGAGTCTCCAAGGCGAGGAAAATATACCAAGAAACATTCGACAATTTAAGTCTTGATCAACGCCACGTGTCACTCTCTGATCACATTATTTGATGACGTGGCTCTCCTAAAAGGGAGAAAACCTTATTTTATTGTATAAGATATCACTTTAATTAGCAAAACTGATTATTTACCGAAAAATAAAACTTTTGAATTAAGTCTTCACGCGTCTTAATTAAAAACTTTAATTAGCAAAACAGATCATTCAAACCAAATAATATCACATCTTCGATCAAATTTTGTTGTCATGGCATACAATATTTGTTGTTTTCATTTCTTTTATTCTAATAGATTTATTTGGCAGCTCTCCTTTCATTTTCAACAAATTTATTTGGTAAATTTTTGACTGATTTATTTCAATCTCTTCACAAAGTGTAATTCTAACTAAATCGTACCAAGTCGGTGATCCATAGAAGTTAGTTCGGTTACAAAAGAACAAATTATCTTTTATTAACCTTTTTGAGTGCCTTATTAAACATACTTATTAGCGTTTTAGTTGTTGTAGATTTGGTCCCCCTTAATGCAATTGTATAATTCTTATGTTTACTTTATATATGGAATTTAAAAGAATGTAAATACATTTGATGGAATACAAAAGGATTAATTGTACTAACGCTATGAACTAATGATAACAGAAAAAGAAAACAAAACTAGTAGTTAACTCTTGGGAAAATTATACCTTTTATAAATAGATTTTTTTATTTTTAGAAGTGATACACAATGATTCAATAAGAGAAGTAATCTAAAAGGTTTATTTAAAACAGACAAGAACTATTTTATAGGGGGTTTATGATATGTGGTTGATTAGAATTTATATGAGAGGATCAAAGAAAATGCTTTTATAAAAAATGATGCGTATTATTCTGGACAACAAAAATGAGAATTGTGAGAACACGGTTTATGTTCACGAACATGAGGTTCAGTTGACAAGATTGATGCATGCCAAGGGTGAATGCTTGATCAATGATGATGATCGATTTCATCGAATGGTCTCAAGCCCTCTAATCTATGACACCTAGAATTAAAAAAATCAACCAATGATCAAAATCTAGAAAATCATTATATTTGCTATGTTTCATCGTCACTTTTGAAGTTCAGTTAATCAAAAGTAATTCCAGTGTTTCTCGGTCCATTATTATCAAGAAGTTTAGCTAATTATCTTATTGGAAACTTCTTCTGCTCCCTCTACAGAGAAAGTTTTCCTGCCTTTAGTTCCAAATTCATCCTATTCCCTCCATAATATCTCTCATACACATAGTAGCAAACACATAATTAGCTCTAGAACTCAAGCAGGAGCAATTGAGACTCTTTCAATCTCAACTACATACTCCAACGAAGCAGAAGGCGGAATCACAAAACCCGATTCCAGTTCAGCACCCTCTTCACCAAATCCTAAAGATGATGGAACGATCACTCTTCTTTTACCTCCAGCCTTCATCGACCGTAAAACATAATCTACGCCTTCGCATAATCCTTTGCTATATGGCTTTGAACCCACCACAAGAGCCAGTGGCTTCTTCTTGTCTTTGCTTCCAAATGTGTCCACGAACACTTGTCCGGTTTCTTGCACTTGTCCCTTCAGTTCAATCACTACCAAATCACCTGTTCTTGGTGTTGCCCCTCCTCCAAGCCGTAGATCATAGTACCTTCACAGTTTGATTCAAAAGAAAACGAGATCCATTGGCTACATCAATGGATGAAAAACACTATGAATACTAGAAGCAAATTGTTACCTTATGCCATTGGGCAAAACAATCTCTTTCTCTTCTTCTACGTCTCTGCAAAGTAAACATACCAAAAGAAAACAGTTTCAAAGCTTGTGAGAGTGATGATGACAACTAACTTGAAGCTATAGAGATGTGAAAAGTGAAAACCTTGTGTTAGCTTCTTCTTGAGAAACCTCAAACCGTGTTTTGATCTGTTCTGAGATAACACCAAAAGCTAGAAACCCTGCCCAGGCAAGACCAGCGCCGATTCCAAACCGTCGCGTTAAGGAAGAAGCAACCCAATCCGTTGTATCCACGCTCTTCTTCCTTTTCGGTTGCTCCGTCCTTATGGATTGAGACGGAGGTGGAGGAGAAGACTCTGGCTGAGAAGGAGGGTTCTGCTCCGGAGGATCTGAAGAAGAAGCGCAACAGAGTTGATACGGTGCCGTTTTGGTAAACGGCTTTGAAAGGAAAGGAGCTGTAACGGTGAATAGATTCGCCATTTCCGTTTTTAAAAAAAAAAAACTCAGCATCAAAAATATATAAACGCTTATCCTGTTCGTGTGATTCATTTTCAAGACAGAAGTCGAGCCAAGTGTTCGATCTTGTCTTACTGTCAGAAATAAACCGAATCCGGTTATAATAAACCGGGCTATTAAACCGGGTCGTCTAAATTATTAAAAAATTAAATTAAATTATTTCATCTCCCCTCCTCTCTCCACTCTCTCTCCAATCAATGAGGAAGAAGATGGTGACCAACTCCGAAGGACAAAACCGAGAGACGATGCGAGAAAGAAGGTGACTTTGACGAGAATCATTAGGCTGAGAACGAAACTAGGAGACCCAAAATCGTAAATCACCAATCTTTAATCTGTATTTTTTCTAATCTAAGTAGTTGTGTTAATGGGTGGTGGTGGGAATCTCGTCGACGGTGTTCGTCGTTGGCTTTTTCAACGTCCTTCTTCTTCCTCTTCTTCTACCAATACTTCTCACCAACCAATTCTTCATTCTTCTTCTTCTTCTTCTAATCCCGATCAATCTGATCTCATCATTACTGAAGATCTCGATTTCTCTGGTCTAAAGCTTATCAAAGTTCCTAAACGTCATCACTTACCTATGGATCCTCACAAGAAGGTACCTTTAGGCCGATCATTGTTTGTTTTCTTGAGAATGTAATGAAGATACTTTGGTCTGTGATCTTGTTTAATTGAGATTTTTTCATTGATCATTGATTGTTTCTATTGAGAATGTAGTAAAGTTGATTTGGTCTGTAATCTTTGTTTAATTGAGATTTATTTGATTGACTTGTTTATTTGAGATTTTGAGTGATGTCTTGTTTTCTTCTATTAATGTTAATGTTGTGATCTTTGACTAATTGAGATTTTGAGTGGTGTCTTGTTTTCTTCTACTAATGTTAATGTTGTGATCTTGTCTTTTTTTTTTTTTGTAACATGTTGTGATCTTGTCTAATTGAGATTTTGAGTGACATTTTGTTTTCTTCGGTTAGTGTTGTGTGCATTGTTTAATAAATCGCTAGGCTTTGATTACGCCGATATTATTGATTAGACACGTCTAGACCAATACCAATTTTATGATATTTTCTTTGTTGCATGAATGTGAGGTTTGTGTTCCATTGGATTGATCCTATCCATGGCCAATCTCACGAGTAAAAGGTTTGTTCAGGGTGTGCAGGAAAAAGAATTCTTCACGGAGTATGGAGAAGCAAACAGGTACCAGGTTCAAGAAGTCGTTGGGAAAGGAAGCTACGGTGTTGTTGCCTCTGCTCTAGACACACACACTGGGGAAAGAGTTGCTATCAAGAAGATCAACGATGTCTTTGAGCATGTCTCTGATGCTACCAGGATTCTCAGGGAGATCAAGTTGCTGCGGCTGCTTCGTCATCCTGATGTTGTGGAGATTAAGCATATTATGCTGCCTCCTTCTCGTAGAGAGTTCAGGGATATTTATGTTGTGTTTGAGTTGATGGAGTCTGATCTTCATCAGGTGATTAAGGCGAATGATGATTTGACTCCTGATCATTATCAGTTTTTCTTGTATCAGCTTCTCCGTGGTCTCAAATATGTCCACGCAGGTGAGCTTTCTGGTTTTAAAACATTTCTTATCTTTTGACTCTTTTTTATGGTCTTTATTGAAACATGTAAGGGTTTTTCTGTTTGCAGCTAATGTGTTTCATAGGGATTTGAAACCAAAGAACATTCTAGCTAATGCTGATTGCAAGCTGAAGATCTGTGATTTTGGACTTGCTCGTGTTTCTTTTAACGATGCACCAACTGCTATCTTTTGGACTGTGAGTCATCTAATTTTGAATGCAGCAGAGATTCTCATTAGAGTGTTTGTGAACTCACTCTTTTTTTTATGTATATTGTAGGATTATGTGGCTACTCGGTGGTATCGTGCCCCTGAACTCTGTGGATCGTTTTTCTCCAAAGTAAGATTCTTTTTCTTTACTGAACCTCTCTGTATCACAAGAAAGTGCTTCTTGATTTAGGTGTTGTAGAATATCTTTATGTAGTTCTATGTTTCCATAAGACCTACCGTCTCATGCTAAGTTAACTTTCAGTACACTCCTGCGATTGATATATGGAGTGTTGGTTGCATTTTTGCGGAAATGATTTTGGGCAAGCCTTTGTTTCCCGGTAAGAACGTTGTGCACCAACTGGATCTTATGACTGACTTTCTTGGCACTCCACCCCCTGAGTCCATATCAAGGGTTAGTCACTCACTCAAATAGCTAAAACACAATCTATTTCAAATTTTTGCTTTGGTTTGTAATGTGTTACAGTGTCCATCATCTGACAGATTAGAAATGAAAAGGCGAGGAGATACCTTAGCAGCATGAGGAAGAAACAGCCTGTTCCTTTCTCTCACAAGTTCTCTAAAGCTGATCCTTTGGCTCTCCGCCTTCTCGAACGCCTTCTTGCCTTTGATCCAAAAGATCGCGTATCAGCTGAAGAGGTACGCAAACAAGTCATGACTTTCATTTTTTTTATTACAAAGACTGAAACTCTTTGAGTTCATTGTTCTGTTTTCTTTATTTACAGGCACTAGCTGATCCATACTTCAGTGGTATGTCAAACTCAGAGCGTGAACCATCAACGCAGCCAATCTCAAAGCTTGAATTTGATTTCGAGAGAAAGAAGTTAAACAAAGATGATGTCAGAGAATTAATCTACCGAGAGGTAACACACAAAAAAGCTTTTGACTCTGTCTTATTGTTCTCTGGTTCTCGTCATTGATCTAACAATCCTTATTGGGGAAAAACATTAGATATTGGAATATCATCCTCAGATGCTGGAGGAGTACAAGCGTGGTGGTGATCAGCTTAGCTTCATGTACCCTAGGTTAGCTAATTAAACAGCTCATGAAACTATAATACCTGAAATAGAAAGTGTTTTTAAAATCAATCTTGTGTTGTTTATGCAGTGGGGTTGATCGATTCAAGAGGCAATTTGCTCACCTTGAAGAGAATCAAGGAAAACCAGGAGCAGGAGCAGGAGGAGGAAGAAGTAATGCACTTCACAGACATCATGCTTCCTTGCCAAGGTAAATGTCTTTCACAGAATCTCTCTCTCCTTCTCTCTTGTCTCTCTCTCTCTGAAAGCATTGTGCTTCTTTGTGATTGTGTGTTGAAGAGAGAGAGTCCCTGCTCAGAGTGGTGAGACTGCAGAAGAAAGCAGTGATGTTGAGAGAAGAGCAGCAGCTGCTGTTGCTTCAACCTTGGAAACTGAGGAAGCTGACAATGGAGGAGGTTACAGTGCTCGTAACCTCATGAAGAGTTCAAGCATCAGTGGTTCTAAATGCATTGGTGTTCAATCTAAAACTGACAAAGAGGTTAGTTAGTTAGTTACTAAAGAAAGAGAGATAGAATAAACAGAGGATCTTGAAAACTTACTGTTGTGTCTGTTCTCTCTGTTTAGCAGGAAACCATAGCTGAGGAAGGAGATGATGAAACAG